TTTTCTCCAGAGTTTTTCCATATAAATAGAACACACGGAACGAAATCTGATAATCTGATTTTCGCTGTAACTGCCTCGCCCCCTCCCCATCCCGCCCGCCACGCTCCGCCGCCGCCTCCGTCCGCGATAAAAGGTTCAAACTTGTTACAACATATTTTTTCTTCGGCCGGCTATCGGACGCGCGCGCAACGGCTTCCATCGTCGCATTTGAAACGCATCAAAGGCATTTCTCGGCTCTCTCTCTCTCTCTCTTCGGTCGGCTCTGCCTTTTGTTTGCGACGGCGCCGAAAAAAAGAAGTATTCGACGAAGTTCGAGCTTCGATACGGACAGTTTCAACAATGCGCGCGAACTTCGGGAATTGATTTCGCCCCGCGGCGACCTTCGAAGGTCCCTTCCGGCGGCGAAGAAATCATCGGGAGCAACGCGTTCGCTCGTAGATTTCACGAAATTCGAATATTTCCGGGGGAGGAATTCTCGGACGGATCGAGAGAAGCGGGGTTCGCGGTTTTATCTCGCTATTTTCGCTGTCGGGAAATCGGGCCGGCGATCATTCGGCGCGGCGGTCCGATCCTCGAGGGGTCGCTTTCGACCCCGCGGAAATTTTTTAAACAATTCGTCGGACCCGGTAGAACGAGGGAGTCCGCCGTGAAACGAAAAGTTTCGCGGATAATTCGACGAACGGGATTGTTCGTTTCGCCGTGATTTCGCTGCCGGAAAATTGGGATGGCCGATGGATCGAGCGCGGCAAAATGGCGACGGCGAGGGGGCGGGAGGGGGGTGGGGTTGCGGGAGGGTGGACCGATAATTATTACACGACTCCGCGAAGCAGTTATTGTCCCAATTCAGGGGTCGCTTTGCGGATAATAGCTGTGCTCGAGAGGTCATGTGAGCTTGACGTTCCAGCATGTCAACAACAACTATGCATCATGGGATGTCTGCCGCACGTAAACGCTTGTTCCCCACCCCGCCACGGCGTTCGCAACCACCCTCTTTTCACCTGCGCCCGTCTCGCTCCCGCGCGCGTACGCTTAGGCTCGCGATTATTCAGTTTTTGGCCGGATCCTTCGGGGATCCAAAATGTAAGCCGTTTCTTCTGCCGATAAAATCGAGCGAGAACCGGGCAAGGAAATTCGAGATCGAGAAACCGCTGGACACCGTCGAAAGTAGAGATTTCGAGCTTCAAAATCAACCCAGTCGCGTCGTCGTACGTATCGTTTATTCGGAGTTACAGCGGGTTCGATACCCTAGGGACATTTAAGCTTGCGCAACTTCCGAGAGAAGCGGCGTCTCCTTGTAATCCGTTCGCTGCTCGAAGTCGCGTCCTTGAGAATAGCAGCGGAGGGTGATCGAAACTGGAAGGTCCGCTCTTCAAAACGAGCCTAAGTAGAGCATCGTGCGACGTTTCTTCGCGGAGCCGCAGTACTTCGAAGACAATCGATTTTCCCCTAGGATTCGGCCGCCTCGATCGCCGGAAAAATATGTTTGCGGTATTATTTGCGACTCTGTCGAAATTCGTGCGCGCCCTAAATGTGTAACAAATAATTATGAAATGATCGCTTGCGGTGTGTCGACGCAATATTTTGCTGTTTTTTAATGTTCATTTGACGGAATGCTGGCAGTTTCGTCGCGATCGGCAATCGGCGGTTGCGATCGAACAAAATAATTGAATGGATCGGTTCGGACCGGTGACAAATCGTAATCCCGAAGATTCGGGCTTGTTTTATAACGTCTGCGGGATCGATGGCGGCCAATTCTCGCGGAGTAGATCATTCCCGGCAAGCGTACAAATCGTGTGATACGACCGTTTTCCAATCAGTAAGCCCGCTCATTGACGGTCTAATTAAACCTATTCCCTATCCGCCAACATTCCCGGCATTCCGCGTGTAATCGGTTTAATCACTTACGTGCTGCGCGATATAGGCTGCTTAATTCGGGGCGAATCCTTCGAGTCCGGTGTACACGCGCGGCCCAACGATTTAAATTTTCCCGCGGTTATTTATGCGGCACCCCCTCGCCCCATGAATATGCAGTCCCCGCGAAAAACCGGTTATTTAAGCGGTCCGAAACGTTAACTCGTCGGAAACGGATAGCGCTTATTAGTCACTTTCCTTATTTGCAAGCTCCTTCGTTGAAAAGTGTGACGGAATTTTCAAATTTATTCATTTTCGGCCGCCAATTTCGGTGCTTCGAAATCCAATAACGGAATTTGGCACTGCAATGGATTTTATGGAAATTAGGTTTCATTTAATTAGCGTTTATGAGGACACCGAACAGTTCCTATATTTTACTATGTTTATACAAAGCTATTATATCTTATTAGTATTACTATACTATATTATATTATTATTATTATTACTATATTATATTTTATTAAACTGTTAAGCATTTAGCTATTTTAATAAAATATATAGTAATTGTTTAGTAAAATATTTAATAGAATATAATAATGTTTTGTATATATATATATATATATTGTACCCACGTTATTATATTCTATATATATATAGAATATAATAGAATATAATAGAATATAATAGAATATAGTAGAATATAATAGAATATAATAGAATATAATAGAATATAATAGAATATAATAGAATAGAATAGAATATAATAGAATATAATAGAATATAATAGAATATAATAATAGAATAATAATAATAGAATATAATAATTTTTTGTAATATATATTACTATTATTTTTCTATTTATTATTATTTTTGTGTATATATATACTGCACACTAAAATTTCTGATAACCATAACATTGTACGTACAATATAATGTAATATCTTGTTCTACTGTATCATGTTCTACATTTGTATCATCGTTTGTATCGTTTTATATACGATCTGCTAATGAAAGCTTGGGAAATAGGAAATAAAGAGACGGTGAATCACATTCCACAGGAACACTTATGCGTCAGATAGCGCGTTATCAATGCACTGATAACAATTAACACTGATAACAATTGCAAAGTGACAGTTGGAATCTCAATGTGTCAATGATTGAAAATTCTTACGAATTGTTTTATTATACTACTGCTGCCATGGGGAATTCGTGGTCCCACAAAGATATAATCGACGAAGACCGACTTTCCACCTATGCAGAACTGACATTCTTGAAGAGAAAGCAAATAGTACGGTGAGCAATATTTATCATATATATTTGTCCATGGATTTCCCGATCGTTACGCATCAGTAACATAGTTTTATATTTATGATAATAAATGTAGAATATTTGTCAAATAAATGTAATTGTTTCATTAATAATTTTAACATTCGGTTGAACGATTGTACGTTGACATTGTAGCATTATATATCTCCTGGACAATGTGGATCCTGGGAAGCTACGTGAAAATTTGCAGCATCGTTTCGCTGCGGAACAAATAGACGTGATACTACCACAGATTCAGGTAAGTTCGATCGTGCCAATTCATAAAAATATTTATAAATAATGGAATAATATTGTGGAATAAAATTAATGGAGTAAAAATGTATATATTAATATATAAAAATACATATTTTTACTCCATTAATTTTACTAAATAATATTACTCCATAATTTTTATATATAATTATGAGAACTCAAATTTTAATCGAAACGAGGATTATTTATAAATAATAGAATAATATTGTGGAATAAAATTAATGGAGTAAAAATGTGTGTGTGTGTGTGTGTGTGTGTGTGTGTGTGTGTGTGTGTGTGTGTGTGTGTACATATTAATATATAAAAATACATATTTTTACTCCATTAATTTTACT